TTTTAATGTATTTTTATACTAATGATATTAATATCAATGTCCATCCTGTGAGGTATATTTTCAGATATCTTCCCCATTTTGCTATTGACTTACAAGGAATGCCTACATATATCCTTGATCATATTGAATTACTTGGACTTCCTTTTTAATTAAATCAGGTTTATTTGTAACTGACCCATAAAAACATAAAAGCACGAATATTTATGGGGTGCCAAGTAATGCTTCAATGCGTGTAATCACTATTTAATGTTAAATCAGGTTAAACATATCTATTTTCTCAAACATTTATCATTACTTTTGGTGAAGAATTATTTGGACCTCTTGGTGGATAATCATTTGAACATGCATATAAAACTTAATTTTTGGCCAGTATTCTGTTTATTCAATCTTTCATCTATCTGTAGAAAATAATGCATTTTCTTGACTACATGAGGACTTGTGTACCTGAGGCTACTTCTAGGCCAGTTCTCTATGGCAACAGTCACTTTTGACTGCAGCCATTGAATTATTTTGAGATTCAAATTTGAGTCCTATTAAAATTGAGCCTTGTTAACAGCTATTCCCTGGTCTGAAATCTGTTTTTATTCCATTAAGGAATGAGCTCTGGGATGCTATGTATAAAGAAGTAAAGAAGATAATCCCCTTTTAGCCATCTTCCTCTATCTGTCTGAAATTTCTGTTTCAGGCAGATATTGTGAAGTAGTTGAGAAAATTATTTCAAGAAAGAATTTGTCTTATTGTCTGAGTATGTCTTCCTGAGTCAGGGGATGAGAATTGAAGACATTCATTACAGAGGCCTATGTGGAATATCAGCCTCAAGGAATTTTAGAAATATTGGAGATTACATTATGTAGTCCATTAATTATGGTCATTAATTACTGTCACTTCTGCATTAATATGAATATATAACAATTTCCTACCTAAAAGCTCTTTGGTACTCCAATCCATTAATATATATGGAACACAAATACAAAAAGCTAAAGTTTTTAACTCTGGGAAGAAATTTGAGACTATACAAATTGTAAAGGCTATGTCCGTTGGCAGTGTTATTTCTCAATTACTAATGATTATAATTATTAAGAGAGTATTTGTTTTGTGGCTCTTTGGGGGAGTGCTGGTGATCTGTGAGACCTGGAATATTATAAACATTCTGTGGAAAAGAATGCTTTATCATGGCTTTACCACGAGGCCATGGCTGCTGTTACATACCTAGTATTACAATCTTGCACTTTTATCATTATACTGTAGAAATGGTGTCAGCATACTTTCTTGAAAAAAATTTTTAAAAAATGCTGCTTGGAAACAAGTCTAAATGAAGAGCACTTTTACAAGATCAAATGGTCAAGTGTGTGCAGTGTAATATAAAATAAAACTTACCCTTGATAATAACACCAATCATAACATGGTATATGTGTTTGATAAGATTATATAATGGAATTTTTTATTACTGCTGTTCAGTTCAATTTATCTTTTAAATAATGCAAACTATAGTACAGGGAAGAGAGAAATAAATAAAATGAGAGCATTTTTATGTAGGTTGGCAGCATGGGTCAGAGATAACCATAACTTGAGTCATTTTCTGATTCAATTTCATGCAAATTTCACTTTGAATATTACAGTAGATTGAAACAAGTATGATTTGGAAAATGCATATATTTTAATTTAAAAAAAATGCCTACTCAAACAACAAAGGGAATATTGAGATGTAAAAAAGCCATTTATTTGTTGAATGAGAACATACAATGTGAATGATACTGTTTGTTAGCACAGAGTCTGTGAACCTGTATAAACAATCTTATAAAAAAGACAAAATAGGCATGGAACCAAATAAAATTAACCCTTTCGTGTATCAATTTATTTTAATGTGCATTGTCAAAGCCACAGATTTTTCAAAATAAGGATGCCATTCCAGTAGATGATGAGAAAATCTAACCTGAGGTTGCTAATTTTAAATCAGCTTTTTTTTTAATCATGCAGGAGACTATCATAAGGCAAATTTTGGTATAGTGTGAAGATCTCTGTAGAGGGTAAATAATTATGTGCAGTTTTGAATGAGCACCTAATCAAGAATCTTCCAAAATGGCCACTGTATCATTGATTTATAAAATATTAACTTAATTTTAATGACAACCTGTTCTGAGATAGCTCCCTATGTGCAGGACACCCTGAATAGCTAGGAATGAGGAATGGAACTGAAGGAATGCTAAGTAAAGAATAAAGACATAGGTCATTGTTAAGTAGAGGATTAAATCAGTGAGATAATGTGAAACCAAGGTGATGCTAGTAGTGGACAACAGTGTTGGGATTGCATAACATGTTTGTCCTGCGCATTAATGGTTCTGATGGTAGAAAAGTGTAGTCCAAAGACAGAAATATTTTTGCAGAGTAGAGGGTCTTTGAGGTTCTTTTAAGCTGTGTCCGTAAAAATGTCAAAGACCAATGTTGCCACTTACCTTCCTGAGGGTCTGCTTTGGCTTTCCAGTTTTAATCCTGACAAGATGCTCCAGAATGGATTTAAATGATGTTTTTCACCCATGAGACTCATTTTTTTTAAAATGTTTATCTAATTCAAACATAAACTAATTAGACCTCTTTATCTGAGGCAGAGTGTCTTGCACCTGTGTTAATTATTCTCAGAATATTCCATTAGGAAGAAGAAAAAACCATGTCATGCCTTATTCTAATTGAATAAAAGTTTGTGTTCTCACTAAATCCTGTAAATCATAAGCATGCCTTTGTCAGAATTTCATTGTCACAATGTCATGTACATATTAGGTACATAACACACACAAGAGCATAATTCATAAGTGAATAAAACAATGACTTTATAGAAAAGATGGGGTAATATTTGGTCATGCAACACCCACAGACAAATAATATTTTTGCTGAATACAGAATATTGCCAGATATATAAATATAAGTTGGCATAAGACAACACATTATGACTTGTATTATTTCTTCCAAAAAATTAGTAGTAAATAATTTCTTAATATGTTCATATGAATCTTATATTTGATTGTTTTTAAACATTGCTCTTCATCACTTGTTTCCAGAAATTTGATTATGATGCACATTGGTGTCATTTGTTTCTGTTTAGCCTTCTTGGAACTATTTTAGCCATTTACATCTCTGGTATTATGATTTAAAAATACTTTGGTAAGGAAATCCCCACCAACGTTTCTTCCCATGTTTTTTTTTTTTTCCTACCCTATCTATACTCTTTTTTCACTTGAACCTACGATTATACATCATTAGGTAACATATGCCTATTCTAAAAAAAGACCACTGAGATTATTTTCATGGTTCAGTTCAGAATTTTGTTTTCTTTCTGTCTTCATTTTAGGTAGCTTAATGACTCATTTAAGTTGACATCTTTTGTTTTTTCTGCATATAATCACTTGTTTATAATATTGTGATTTTGGGGTTTTGAAGTTCAGTTTTGGAATCCTAATTTTTTTCCTCATGATACAAATGCTTTTGTTAAAGTATAAAGCACCTTGAATCACACAGTGATTGTCTGAATGAACTTGCTGCTGCTTCTATCATCACTGTCATTTCAAGTTCTATTTTAATTGTCTCCTAGGTAGAGTCTCATCTTGTATCATCCTTATAAATCTAGTATTTCTTATTAGATGCTGAATATTTTAAATTTTATGCTAATTTTGTTTTGTTTTGTTTACTTAAAGGTGTTAAATTCTTTAAACAAGAATCAATTGTGTCTACTCGAGACTTATTTTCAAGTTCTTAGAAATGTGCAAAGCAGCTTTAAACTCTGAGACCGCTACTATATGTCCAGGTGTTGGAAAACAAGCCCATCTGGTTATACTGTTATGAAGATACTGAGACCCTCAAATAACTCTCAGACCACAAACTGCCATTCCAAATAAGCCTTTATTCATGGCCAGCGGCTGACTCTCTACTGTCTAAAAGTGAGATAGTCAGAATGATGCACCCCCTTCAGTTTGGCCTCATATTTAAGCCAAAAAAAAAAAAAAAAAAAACCCACAAAAGGTACATTAGGGGGTTTAGCCAATGCAAGCAAGTCAAGTAACAGATGCTATAGATTGTAGTCAGGTAGCAGGAGGCTTAGCCAATCAAAATAAACCCAGTTTCCCTAGTTACAGAAACAGGAGATTGCAGTTAGATAGTTCCATTTTCTTGAGGGTATCCACAACAAAAGGAAAAATAACTTGCCCCAGTCATGACCTTTCTACTTGGCATGGCTGCTTCATAAAATAAAGTTACTAAACAAAATGGAGTCACTGTAATTAAGACTTCTGTCTCATCACAATACAGAACTTGCATTTCTTCCTGCCCTATATCATATCTAGGAATTGAGTAGCTTACTGTATCCTGGTCAAACTTCTTGTGGACTAACACTTGTGGCCATCCAGTGATGACATGTGCAACTCAGAATTCAACCACAAACTCATGGGAAACTAGTGTGGAGGAAAATATTCATGACAATAATACGTTTTGACATAGGAAACAGGGAGCAATATGACAGAAATATGTTCTCATTATCTGCAATTAATTTTAGTATAAAATATTAAATTCTCTGATTAAAGAACAGAAATTGGCATGATGTTCTAAGTACATGCTGTCTGCAGGACACTTACCTTATTATTTTAGGTTCAGAATATACAAGGAAAACAAGAATAAGAAGGTAATTGTCCAAACAACAACAACAAAAATTTCGGCAAAACCAACAGTTAAGTAACTTAGAGTTTAATTCTTCCCATTGAAAGAATATTAAAAAAACATGGAATTACTAAAGAAATATTGAACCACAATAAGAAATGTTAAAAAGAAGTGAAATTTGATTGTGATCTGCAATATGAGGGTAATTTGGGGTGAAAAATGAAGGAAATAATTTAGTTTTCTATATGGTATCGTGAATTTTTGAAGTGATAAAAAGGAATATATTCATATTTTTAGATGTAGTGTCAATGGGCATTGCCTTTATCAAAGTTTGTACAAACAGCATTGGATATTAAATATTAAATACAAAATTTGCATTTATTCTTAAAGACCCTGTGAAAAGCATTTTTTACCTCTTTGTTCCTAACACTGTATATTAAAGGGTTAAGCATGGGAATCACCAAAGTGTAAAATACAGAGGCCAATTTATCAGTTTCAAAGGAATGGGTGGATTTGGGCTGCACATACATAAAAAGTAGAGACCCATAGAACACCACCACCACTGTCAGATGAGAACCACACGTGGAGAAAGCTTTTTTCCTGCCTTCTGCAGAATGCATTCGATATATAGCTAGCAGAATCAGGAGGTAGGATACTAAAATCACCATGAGGGATGAGAACAAATTAAATGCTGAAAATAATATGATCAATAATTCTATATCTCGTGCATTTGAGCAGAGCATAAGTAACAAGGGCACATCATCACAGTAGAAATGACTGATGACATTAGAGCCACAGAAGGTCAGTATGAAAATCTTAATAGTGATCATCAGAGCCTGAAAGATGCTGTAGAGGTATGGAATGCCCACCAGCACATGACAAAGTCTTTGAGACATGATGACATTGTAGAGAAGAGGGTTACAGATGGCCACATAGCGGTCATAGGCCATGGTGGACAAGATGAAAAGTTCACTGATAATGAAAGTAATAAAGAAAGCCATCTGGATGGCACATGCATAGAAGGAAATGGTATTTTGATCAACAAAAAAATTCACCATCATCTTGGGATAAATGACAGTGGAATTGCCAAGGTCAATGAAAGCCAGATGTCTGATAAAAAAATACATAGGTGTGTGCAGATGGGAGTCCAGCTTGGTCAGAATGATCATGCCTAGGTTGCCCACCACTGTGAGTGTGTAGATGAGGAGGAAGACCCCAAAGAGGGGAAGTTGCAGCTCAGGCCGCCTGGAGACTCCCATCAGAATAAATTCAGTCAGCACTGTAAGGTTCTGTTGGCCCATTTAGTCCAGATCTCTTTTCCTGGAAGAAACAAAGATATTGTTATCCACATTATTTAGAATCATCCAAACAAATTATAACATTTGTAGACAGAACAGAAAAAATATGTATATATAGTGTATATTAATTATTCTGAAAGTTAAGTGAAAGGTGAAACTTTGCAAGATAGGGATTCTTGTGATCCCTGTTTTGGCATAAAGTCTTAATTGAGTCAGCAACATTTGAAATATAATTATTGGTTATAAAACCATGTAGGCATTAATATAGAAACATTAGTCTTCATATCCTCTATACAATGGAATCAAATTTTTATTAATATACTTCCATTTTTATCGGACAATATTTGTGGCATTTTGGTATTTTTAAAGATAGAGGTTAAGAAACATGAAACAAATGAAATTTAAATATTGGGCACCTCATTTGTATTTGAAGGCGTTCTGTAGTCTTTTCTACGTGAACTCACAGAGATGTATTTTTGTCTAAGTTGCAAAGGCAAGATATGTCAGCCCCAATCAATCAAACTCACTCTCTCTTTCCATTCTGACTTCCACTCTATCATACTTTAACAAATAACATGTAGCATTAATAACATGTTGCAGTTGGACCACAGGCATTTATGGGGTCCAACTAACAGGGAATTGAATAAGGATAATACTGTACATTGTAATTTGTAGGCATATATAAATGGTTAAAAATTTATGACATTAAGCAATGCTATTATCTGATGTACAAATGGTTATTAAAGTATTCCTTTGTGAATATCCTTATAATATAATTAATAAAGTTAATATTTTTACATATTTATATGGTTGTTGAGAAATAGTGTATTCATACTGAACTCTAAGATTCTTTTTCCTTTCAAAATAAATATTCAAATGTGTGTAATTTTACTTTTTCTTTGAAGAACATAAATCCTTAATTGAGTAGTATAGGTTTCAAGACACACAATATACAGATATATTCCTTAGCTTAGCTCAATATACATGGGTTTTGATTATTTAGTTTTATATGATTTATTTCACTTTGCATAATATTATAAGATAAGAGGATCTATTAGGAATTTAAGATATATACATATGTCAGCATTTATTATACTGTATAGTAGTACCTACTAAATCATTTATGGAGTTCTATAATGTAATATTTAGAGAGCATAACTCTCTACCTTTAGATATTTTAGTAATAACAATTAATATGAACAGTCAGTAAAAGAATATAGAAGTGCTCTGATTAAAGATGATAAGCATATTCTAGACTAATATCTTAAAATTCTCTTCTTATCACATTCAGAGTCACCTCAATGAAAATGTAGAACTCTGTAACTATGATTTTTGATTTGAGAAAAAATTAGATATCAGCATACACAGGTAAAATGCAAAAGAGAACAAGTACTTAGAAGAGTACAAGTGTCAGCCTGCAAAACTGTCAGGTAGAAACTTCTGGAAATCTACCCAATGGCCCGGGACTGTAGTCTGGAGAAGCTGCCATCCAGAACCACCTGGTGGTATTCTAGTAGCTCTAAGAATCGGCTCATGTTGGGGCTAGGCTGGAGGGTGACCCTGGAGATTGTGGAGTCATTTCCATCCATTCTTCCTGTATGAAGTTTCTGCTCTTTCTGCATTGAGTATCCTCTAGTTTCAGGACCTTTCCTCACTCACAAGTAAGAACAATAAGCTTGTTACCTTTTGAAAATGTTATTTGGATTTTACAGGGTAACAGAGCCTACAATTTTAGGTGTTTATGATGGAATAGAAAATACACTGGATTGAACAAAGAAATTCAGAATTCCAATAACAAAATTAGGAATTTGAAGCTTTAAATAATCTTTTTTTTGCTGCTTTAAAAAAACTATATCCATATTCAGTGCCAATTATTACATTCCTCTCAAAATATCTGGATTCCTTTGCTTTACCCAGGCTTCTTCCTGCAAGAACATCTCTAATCTCCTCTGAATATCCTGATATATTTTTATTATCTCTACATCAGGCTAACCATTAGAATGCAAAAGGTAGGCAGAGGACTGATTGTCCAATCTTTATTCATGTTCATAGCAAGAATTATTAGGGATTCAGGAGTTTCTCCATAACTTCATAACTCTCACAAATCATTCTATTTCTTTTCATCTACACAATGTTTGGAATTTTCAGTATGGGAAGAAAAAATAGCAGGCTCTGAAGTAAGAAAACTTGTGTAAACAATAGTTCAAATAGTTGACTACATCCTTTGCACATTCACACTCAGGGTAACATTAAATAAAACTTAATTCGCATTTGATGAAATATTCCTATAGAAAAGCTCATCTTAAAATGTTCTTTTGTAAAATATGTGTTTTTATGTATTTACATTAAAATGGCTTTTTATTTATCAAATATTTTATAGCAGATACAGTAAATGTTATTTTTCATTTATCTAAAATCAAATGAAATTGGACATCCAAGATTTTATCTGGGAATTCTAATCTTATAAAGATTCCAATTGATGAGATCAGTGTTGGATTTTTTTTTTTTAATTTCCTATCTTACTTTTCACTTGTAATATCTGAATATCACATTGAAATCTCACAAATAAAATAGTTCTAGGACATTTCTTTGAGTCCATAGAATTTGGTTACCTGAAAACAATTGATTCATCCAAGGGATAGCAGTAAACAAGAAAGATTGATTTTTTTTTTTTTTTTTTTTTTTGTAGTGAATTGAAATGAATCAGCTTTCATTGATCATACCATCAGAATCTGGGAGTAATAGAAAATTACCAAACCCAGGTGATTATGCAAGTCCATAAAAATTCTTACACACTCACCTTCAATGAAGAATAGGATTTCTTTCTCCTAAATAACTTATTTTTCTTGGCATACAAAGAATTTATGGTTTTCTCCCATAGTTGTGACATTCCCTGAGGAAATAGCTTGCAATGTGTTCAGTTCATTATACTCAAATTATCTGAGTGATTCAATTAAAAAAAATAGCATTGAAGTCACCTCTACTTGTTCCCCAGTGATAAAGTGTAGGAGAAAAATCCCAGAAAGGAGAAAAACAACATATTAATCTGAATGATTCCCTGGAGAGTTTACTGTCTTGAAGACACTCATTTACCTACTTTCTTAGAATATAATATGAAATGATGGAAAGTACTTTGAAACCAGCTTCATCCCTGCAAAATAGAACAATTCCAAAGCCATTGTGAAATTACCACTATCACATAGGGATTTTTCCTTCAATTTATTTTTAAAATTAAAATATATAGCAGAAGCAGAGTTAAAAAGGTGCAGTTTAGCCCTTTCATGTGAGCTAGAGATTACCATTGCCATACAGAGAAGACACCAAAAGGAAATAAACTATAATTTTCTTTAATTTACATATATTGAGACTGAAAGTTTTGAAAATAAATCTTAATTTATTTCTATATGCTTGATAGATGTACATTTTCCTTTATTTTCTCAAAACTGTAACAGTTGTTGTTATGCAATGGTTTTTACTATGATGTCTACCCAACAGTGGTATTTTCTGAGCTGTAATTTCACCACTGTTGGAAAAAACACAGTCATGTTGAGAGTGAAATCTACTACAGAACAGTATCACTTATATCTCACACCATTTATGCTTTCTTTTTTATGGTTTCTCCTCATTGACTTGCATATTTGTAAGAATTTATACACAGTGAAACTCGGAACTTTTTTGAACAAAATTATGATTTAAAATCTATTATTAGATATATTAATACTGGATTGAAGATAATAGATTCATTTGAAATGCCAAATAGTTTTCTTTCGTGCTTTTTAACACCCACCACAGGCCTTCCATCATAGGGAAATTTCCACATACCTTACCCTCATGTATCCTGCCATCCTTATGCAACTGTTGTTCTGAATTTTATTCCCAGATTATTTTCCCTGCAGAAATCATATGCAGATACAATTTGACACTTGGGGATATAAGGAATTTTGTAATCATGGAGTATTTTAGTGAATCAAAGTTATTTCTTATTCTAATAATAATAATATTTAAAATTCATACCGAAAATCTTTAATATTTCCTTAGGCTCATGTTTTCAAAAACTCTTTTATTTTTGAAAGAGAGAGAGAGAGAGAGAGAGAGAGAGAGAGAGAGAGAGAGAGAGAGAGAGAGAGAACTTTTTTTTTAATATTTATTTTTCAGTTTTCGGTGGACACAACATCTTCATTTTATTTTTATGTGGTGCTGAGGATAAAACCCAGCTCCCCATGATGCCAGTCGAGAGCTTAACCGCTTGAGCCACATCCCCAGCCCCTTCAAAAACTCTTTAAATGATAAGTTGTGTAGGTGAATTGGCAAACTATATTTTATTGAGGTTGACACGTTTCTGAGTTTTTTGGTGTTCCTTCCAATACTCAGTGTATTGCACATCTCTGAAGAGGGTGATGTTTTTCTCATTTTGGTCTATGTGAATGGCATACACCAGAATAACATGTTGCCCAACCTTCACAATTCCATATGTGTTTTTTGTCTTTCCCCATGAGAGCATTTAAGAGTGCTTTATTCATGCATTCAATGAACCATTTCACAAATGCTGACTCAAGGAAGATGGCTTAATTGAACAACAAAAAATGTAGGATTGGGGGTTCTGATAGCTTTTGTTTTCATTAGTTCAGTAGCTTGACAATATCAGAGTCAGTATGTTTTGTTGGACATTCATTGTCTTATGCTTGAATTAATATTCCTAACTTATGAAACTAACATGAAATGGTATGAGTCGGAGAAGCAGAAGTTTATGGGAATAAATGTTTCTTCGAGGGACTTAGCTTCTTCTGAGATGCACTGTATCTTCTCATTATCCTTACAGACTTCCAATGACAAATCATTAGCAATTTGCCATTTTCATAAAAATTCTGCTTTTTTTCACTTTTTTATCAAAGATTGATGAACTTCTTGGGACACTAATAATGGAACCATTCTCTTTATTTCTTTTGTAGGATGCTCTTAATTCATGTTAATGTGTGCTTCTTAGCCACCATAATTTATTTCAA